TGTATGTATGTATGTATGTATGTATGTATGTATATATATACACATACATACATACATACATACATACATACATACATACACACACACACACACACATATACATACATACATACATACATACATATTCAGTTAGAATATGAAAAACAAAGAATTAATGAAATTACTTTTATATAATTATATAGTTTCCTATATAGAGCTAGGATGGCTCAGTGATTAGAATGCAGTATTGCAGGCTAATTCTTTGACTGCCAACTGATGGCAGTTTGAGTCGTACAAGCTCAAGGTTGACTCAGCCTTCCATTCTTCTGAGGTCAGTAAACTGAGAACTCAGATTATTGGGGGCAATGCGGTGACACTGTAAACCGTTTAGAGAGGGCTGCAAAGCACTATGAAGCAGTATATAAGTCTAAGAGCTATTGCTATTGCTAGGAAATGTACAGCAAGAACAATGCTTGGTTGCAGTGCAATTAATTACTGAATAACATCAATTACATAATCTTGTGCTCATCAGTTTTTACTCTAAGCGCTGATGCAAAATAAATGTTATGGTAGAGAACCAGAAGAACTTTGAAATGGACTTAAAGAAGTCATTGAGGATAAATGGGAAAAGCGTCTGCCAAATATGGAGAAATGGAAGAAAACAAACTGGATTTCAGAATAAACCAAGACATGAATTGCAGATTAGCACTTGGTATAGTGATGGCGAACCTTTTCGGCACCAAGTGCCCAAACTGGAACACAAATTTACATGTATGTGTGTGCTGGAGCCCCGGAAGCTCAAAGACCAGATGACCAGTGTGTGTGCACATGCGCATGCTGGCCAGCTGGTCTTCTGGTTTTGGCGCACACATGTGCACCAGCTTGCTGGTCTTTGCACATGCCAGAGAGCCAGAAACCTGAAGACCAGGTGGCTGGTGCATGCATGCGCACTAGCCAGCTGGTCTTCAAGCTTTTGGGCTCCTGCATGTACATGCATTCTGGTTTGGGCACTCAGTGCAGAAGAGCAGCTGGCGATGGCATGTGTGCCCACAGAGGGGGCTCTGAGTGCCACCTCTGGTATGTGTGCCATAGGTTTGCCATCATGGGTATAGTACTTATGAAAGCCTTAGAAGAGATATTCAGATGCCGTGATGTGTTTATATCTACAAAGATCAAAATAGTGCAAGGAATGGTATAGCTCGTAATACCCTATGGAAGTGAACGTGGGACAACTAAGAAGCAATGAAAAATATTGGTACTTTTGAAGGTTTCAAAAGGTGTTCACCAAACCAAAAAAGATAGCTTAAAATTATTTTGGGATATTCTCATATTGTATACAAAGCATTATATGGTGGACTGATTTGAATATTTAGAATACTGGTTTTAATAAAGGTTGAATAAAGATATTGCTTGTCATCTGATGAATTCAGTTAACATGCAGCTGACTGTCATAGCAAGATTTATTTATGAATCAAAATGTGTTTTGTGGCAATTCAGATAAAAAAAGTGGCTACTCCCGGTTATGACCCTACCATTGTATATGTATCTGACATAATTTCAATGTTATTATATAAAATTATATCCTGTATTGTTAACATATCATTTGAATAGTCCAGTCTGGCAGAATTTTCAGTTTAGATTGACAATAAAATTGTAAATCTAGGAACAATTCCAAAGATGAGGTCAGGATAAATAGCAAGCTTTGTTTTACAGTTCTTACACAATCTTTTATCCAAAGTACCCAAGAAAGAAAGCTTTTTTTATTTAGTAGTCTGGAAATGTCATTAAAGAATTTCATTTTTTTTTAAATATCAGGATAGAGTAGCTCTTCAAAATACTATATCATCTAAACAAACTTTGTAACCCTACATTTAGTTTTAATAGGGTTTTTACCATATCAGTTCTATCTAAAATAAAACAACACATAAGCTTTCATTGACAGAGTATTCTTTGCATATGTAAGCAATTAGGAGTTGGATTTCAATACTGCTCTAAAGGGATAAAAATATTAACATAATGCATCTAATTAAGAAATCTGAGCTAATTAAATTTTGTAGATCTATTTTTTCCCTAACATATGGTGAGGTACTTTTGCATAACAAAATGCATTGATCTCATCCCACAATATGAATGACAAGCTTAGGATAGAGTACTCCTTCAATCCGCAACTTCAAATTAACCATTATTAAATTAGCATTTTAATACTGGGTTATAATTTATAGAATGTACTTGGGAAAGAAAACTGTTTTGATCTGTGTATATTTTACCATGTCACTTATCTAAACATCTTCCATCCTTACAAAGATGAAGAAAACAAAATGACATTTTTTTTCAAGGATAAAGTCACCAAATTGCTGTACGAAAGACAAATGATGTATATTATTTTTTTTAATCCCACTAATGACTGGGGTAAATTAGGCTTTTAAAATAATTAGGCTACAGATATGTCTAAAGAGTGTAATTGTGTGAGAAATCATTGACAAATCTGAATCTTTTCACCATGGATAATTGACTCACTTAAGTGGTGATGTGAATAAACTTGCTACAGCAGACATTAAAACTGAAAGTATGATAGCACCTTGGATCTGACGAGAAACTGAAGCATCCGTGGCCTTTCAAATATTATCTGAGGTTGTCATCCCAGACTACTGACTGTGGCAATAACTGGAATCCCAAATCCAGATGGAGGACTGTAGTTTTTTTTTATTTAATTGTTTTATTCAAGTTCTGTAGCTGCCCTTCTCAGTCTAATATTGCCTCTGGAGCAACAAACAATATGGCAATTAAAACCTAAAAGCACAAATAAATCTCCTTTCCCCACCTAAGTAATCCATGGCACTGGAATTGTTTCGAGTCGTATCTAACTGACTTTATGATGAGTCTCTTCAATTTATTTCAGCTTACTGTTTTCGAACATGCTTTCACAAATGTATATTCACTGTATAGCAGTACATTTTTTTAAAAAAATACAGATGCAGTGTTAGTAATACCTGACATCATCTCACTGTCAAACTCCATGTAGCTCCCAAACCAAAGAAGCAAGAAACATACAAGTTTCAGAAAGGCATCTTTAATGCTAGCCTGAGGTAAAAACATAACCCTGAAAAGAATAAGTGTAAATCCCCAGTCAGACTCATGGTGAGTTGTTTAAGGCAGATCTTGTTGAAATACTTTATTCCTAATGTTGTCACTTCAGGGCTGGGTTAATTCTTCTCACCTAAACTGTACTTGTCCTCGCTTTCAGTGCAATATTTCCATTAGAAAGAATGCCGGGAAATTCATTACATTTTGAGAAATAAGAAAGCTATCTTATCCATGCTTTGCCTGGCCTAATATTACCCGCTTCAGCTGGTCCTTTGAGAGAAAAGATTTGATCCGTGCAATTGATTTTGTCAAAATGACAAGCAAAGGCAACTAACTCACAGTTTAGTGCTAGATACCTAATTTATGCATTTATTTTCTTTTAGCATATGACGTACATAACCAAGCAAATCTCTACACACACACACACACACACACACACACACACACACACCAATCTTTTCCTATCTAATCTGTTTATCTACTGGCATTTTTATATGCTTTTGAACTGCTAAGTGAGCAGGAGTTAGGGTAAAATGATGGAGTTCACTCTGTAACGTGATGTCATGGGCTTGAACTGGCAGAGTACCAACTATCTGTGGCCTGAGGCTGATTGAGGTTAACAGAATTGGAAGGGACCTTGTAGCTCGTGTAGTCCAACACCCCACCCAAGCAGGACATCCTACATCATTTCTGACAAATGGCAGCCAAATCTCTTATTGAAAGCCTCCAGTGATGAACGTCCCACAACTTCTGAAGGTCAGATGTTCCATTAGTTGATTGTTCTCACAATCAACCAATGCCGGCCATTAAAACTGCTGCACCCTGTTACTAGATTCCTAAAAAACATTTTCTGATGAAGACTAAAATGGATGTTTAACTTGCATGAAGGATTTTGTAGTTCTGATTAGTAACTACTAGTACATTTAAATTTTATTATGTTTTCCATTAGATAGTTAGGCTTTTTCCAATATCTTGCAAAATGTGGCTCCTATTGAATGAGACTTTCAAGATTTTGAACTTAGGGTATTATACAGTATACATAACAACTGAACAAATAAGATGAAAGAAACATGGCCTACATTCATCAAATAATTCAAATCATTAATCAACAACATTTTATTTTTACTTCCATCTCACTAGTCAGTCAATTTCAGTTATACCACTGTTCCACAGAACTTAGATATCTTAATTCTATACCACAGAATAATATCTACTTGCAAATTAATACTGCAGTATGGCCTTATCTGAAATAGTAAGAATATTCCTGATAATAAAAGGATGTCATAAATATTATGGAGTTTCCCAAAAGGAGTACATAAACATATTCCTTCCAAATGTCATTTTATACTGATTTTTGCCTTTACAAAATTTAAATGAAATTCTTCATAACAATAATTTTATTATATATTAATATATTGAAATAAATATTGATTGGATAACTAGTTCAATGTATGTTATTTTTGTTATACAATTAAAATCTAATGAAAAATCCACCCATATAGGGTACTTTGAAAAGCAAATTGTACATTTGTGATGCAAGGACCATCAATTCCTACTGTTCTATATTTTGCACATTATAGATTAATAAGTATAGCACAAATAACTGATAACATCAGATTTCACATGAATTGAAAAGTGAAAACAATGACAATCAGATCATAATAACTATAAATTTCTAATGTTTTAGAAAGTTAAAAAACAAAATGAAGTCTTTATTATCCCTCTAGTATGAAAAATATAGTAAAAATACAGTATATATTTTAATGGTAACAACATTATATCCTGTTAATGAGTAGCTACAACTGGCAAAATAATAAAATGTAACTGATTCATATTATACACAATTGGGGAAATTTGAAATTTGCAAAATTACACTAACCCAAACACTATTAATACTTGTCAAATTGAAACTGATTTCCAAATTCCTAAGCTAGGTAGACAAGAAACTATTAGCATATCTGTTGTGGCCCAGCAGGAGCCGTTGGAGCTGCCACCAGACTCCAACAGCAAGAGGCCCTATGAGTTGGCTCTGGAAGATGTGGAGGACCCTGGACAGGGTTCCAACTCCGAGCAGGGTGCAGAGAGGCTGGTTGGCCACCAGGAGGTGCTTGAGGCCTGGAGCAGCGGTGAGAGCCAAAGGGCCTGAAGTCAAGCCTTGGAGCAGTGGGGAGGAGACAAGGCAGTGTGGTCCTGATGTCGTGCATTGGAGCAGTGGGGAGGAGACAAAGGAGTTGGTCCTGGATGCCAGGCACCGGAGGGCTAAAAGAACAGTTACGCAGTTACAGGAGATAATTGAACTCAGCTGGTGGTAATTAGGCTCCTCTCAAGACTATAAAAGGAATGGCTTTTCACAAGCTCATCGCAGGAATCAACATATTTACTAGAGTTGGAGAAGCTATTGTGGCTATCTTGGCAGGCTGGATTGCTGCCAAGGTCTAGTCTGTGCTGGATTGCTGCTAAGGTCTAGTCTGTGTGTTAATAAATCCTTGAAGTATCTTTGTCTCGGCTTGCTTTGGTGTGTGAAGAGGGGAGTCAGAACGCATATCTATGGTGTACATCAGGCATAAAGTACACAAGAGATGTAGGAAATAATCCTACTACTTTTCCTTGATCATTATTAATTTCATTTTTTTTAAAAAAAAGTATGTGGATTTGTTATCTTGGAGAAGCATTAAACTATGCAAAGTCAATCTAATTAGTAGCAATTAATTACCTTTTAGGCAACAGCTGGAATATTTATCTAACATATGTCTAGATGTTTTAAACAGTATAATTGAGTTGATTAAGTTGGTGGTCAGAATCTCAGCTCACCCACAGAACTAAAACTGATCACAGATTTTCAGAATAGTCCAACATTAATAGCACCTTTCACTGAACAGATCATTCATACTAGAAACAGTGACCCCCTCCCAAAATATGGCTGTTATTCTATGCTATGCTATCTATCTATCATCTAGCTTTTTATACATACATACTTACACACATATACACAGATTGAATTAGATAGAGCCATTTAGGAAGATGCTATAAATAATAATTAAACTTAAATCACAGTTCACCCAAAGAAGTAAAAAAAGAAACATTTTTTTTAGTGAACTCTAAAATAAATTTATAAAAGCATATCCAGTCCAAATAATCTTCAGTAAACTGAAGCAAAGTTAAAATGACATCATTAAACTTCAACAAACAGTTTCAAGTAGGATTCAGTTACACAACTACAACTGCGGCTAGTCCTTGATTTGCAATAATTTGTTTGGCAACAGTTTGAAGTATTAACAGCACTAAAAAAAGAAGTGACTGATCTTCACACTTATGACTATCACAGCATCCCCATGGTCATAAGAGCAAAACCTGGGCACTTGGCAACCAATGTATTTACAATGGCTGTCGCATTTTAGGATTATATGATTGCTATTTGTCATCATGGTTTTCCAACAAGCTATGCCAATGAGGGAAGTCAAATTCGCTTAATGACTGTTTAGTTCACTTAACAACTGCCATGATTCACTTAACAACCATCACATAAAGGTTGTAAAATTGAACACAACTCATTTAGCAACTACCTTACTTAGCAATGGAAATTCTGATTCCAATTGTGGTCATAATTTGAGGACTACTTATATTGTTTTACCTAAGCTCACTAAAATCTTGTTCGGATGAAATCTATAGGATGTTTACATGAAACCATTGGGGGGGGGGGGGAATCATACACATTTGTGCTATTTTCCAGAAGGAATTTGCTACCATTTTTAATACAACTGATTTCACTTACCATATTGTGGGTGGTTCAGAACCTTCTATTTCCAGGTAATCATATTTCTCTTCCATATGAAAATCTGTAAAGATGAGTGAGATAGTGTCTCCGGGTTCTGCCACAATTGTCCACGTACAGTCTGCATTATTGTGGTACTCATTTGGAAAATTAGGACTAGAGACGACACCACTGGATCCCCTCATTGTTCCTCCACATGCATCTTCCGCTATCAAAGAGAACAAATGGGAAGTATACATCAGAAGAAAGTAAATGGAAACAGGTATTTGGTAGCTTATGGTAATGTAATTAACAGAATAGAATAGAATAGAATAGAATAGAATAGAATAGAATAGAATAGAATAGAATTCTTTATTGGTCAAGTGTGATTGGACACACAATGAATTTGTCTTTGGTGCATAACTTAAGAACTGCAGGAAGAAGAGATTAATATAAACCAGGCTAACTTCATCAACTTTTCTAAGAATCAGCTTTGTTAGCATCCTCCCCCCCACCCCAGCAATTATTTTACAGCTATTTTATAACATGCAAAAAAGAGAAAAGCAAGACAAAATGCAATAGGCATTTATTCCCCTCTCAACTGCTTCTCTTCTTGCTTATTGTCTTAAGAACTGAAGTCTAATGTTGTTATTTTCCTCTTGATTCCATTCTTTTGTGCCAGATATTTTAGACAGTCATATTCAAGTCATATAAGAATGGTGCAGTAGCCTAGAAGTGGAGCTCTTGCCTCAAAATCAGGAGGCTAGATAATGGCAGATATTTCTCTCTCGGGGCACTATGAGTAAATATCAGGTGTGAACCCTGCATTGGCAACAGGAAGGGCATCCGGCTAGTAAACACTCAATTCCATTCAGTTGACTCGACTCCATCCCGATGAAAAGGATTACAGGGTCATTAAAATACATGCATGCATACATATCTTCGAGACCGTCTTCTGCCGCACACCTCCCTAAGACCGATAATATCGCACAGGATGGGCCTTCTCCAGGTGCCATCAGCTGGACAATGCCGGCTGGCGATGCCTCGGAGTAGGGCCTTCTCTGTTGCCGCTCCGGCCCTATGGAATGAGCTACCCCCAGAGATCCGGACCCTACCCACTCTCATGGCCTTCTGAAAAGCTATTAAGACCTGGCTATTCCGGCAGGCCTGGGGCTGTTGATCTCTGGATTGAGGTCCAGCCCCGCTTAGATTGGGTTGTGTCTTTTTAAATTTGTTGTGTCTTTTTAAATTTGTCGTGTTTTATCTGTTTTTAAGAAACTTAGGTTGACAGAAGCTGGGACAAGTAATAGGGGCTTACTCCATTATGCGGCACTAGGGATTCAAACAGCTGAACTGCCGACCTTTCTGATTGACAAGTTCAGAGTCTTAGCCACTGAGCCACTGCGTCCCTACATACATACATACATACATACATACATACATACATACATACATACATACATACATACATGTGTCTTATAAAATAAGACTATTTTTTTTTTGTTAACTACATGTAAGACATTTTATTAATCTTGTTCCCAGAGTCAAAGTAAAATAAATTCATCTCAATGGGGCAAAAGCAAAAAAGTCTAATATTAGGCTGAATTGAACACAGCAAATATGGTCTGGTAATCTTTGGCTCATGGAACAGTTGTTTTGCAGCTGGCAGCAGAGATTTCAACTTGTTATTCAGAACACAGTATTGAAGTATGATGATGAATGGATATAGACTCCATCTATTATTTGGCAAGGTTAATCCCTAAGTAGTTCTTCAACATTTGCATTCAATGTTAGTCACAATGTTGCTTTCACTTGAACTACTTTGGCTCTAATCTTCTAATTTAATTGGTCTGATATCAACAAACACATGCCAGGCCTATGCTTATCAGTACATTTCCAAGCTTGATTTTATTGAACGACACCTCACTGAATTTAATATGCATCATTCCATAATTTTGCCTTTTAAGCATTTAGTCCACATGTGATGAAAAGTGAGATAGTGATGTTCCCAATTCTGTGCCCACCCCTCCAAATGATAACGAAGTTAAATTGAGCAAAAAAAGAAACATACACGTGGATACTTGTACATACTGTGTGGATTGATTTGAATGCCCAAATATACAGGCAACAGATTAAAGTTTTTCCCTGATTACTATTAGGAAGATTAATAGGAAGGGTGGCCATTTACCTTCCAGATTGTTTTTTACTGGCATCCTTCAGTCTCAAAAATCTATGGTATCGTACTCTGGGAAGATGTCCTAAAACAGCATCTGGTGTGGCTAAAAAGGCCAATTTGAGAGTGGCAATCCCTTCCACATTGAGGGCAGATACATCTGCCCCACCCCCGTTTTTGCTGGTTCTGGGACGGCCTCTTTGCCTCAGCCTGCCAAACAAGTGTCTCTTCGAATTGGAGAAGGCCATGCTGCATCTTTAGCTACCAAGCTGAACGATCAGGGGTCAAGTTTTCCCAGCTGTTAATGTCCATTCCCAAGGCCTTTAGATCTCTCTTGCAGATATCCTTGTATCACAGCTGTGGTCTTCCTCTGGGGCGCTTTCCTACCTTCCAAATAGTCTAATGTTAATATGTAGGACAAGGATATGTCTGTTGTCTATTAATAATCTTGGCATAGCAATTGGCAACTGACAATTGGATCCAAACAACCAGCAGGTTGCTTAATTTCAGCTGTGCCATTATCTGCTGATTCAAGTAAATGGCAAAGAAGGGTTTTCTACTAATTTGTTAAAAGAGATCTTGGCTGAGGTATATGTCTTGTCACCAGCCCTACAAGATCTGGCAGATTTGTTATGTAGATTTATAATAGAATAAGATTTATAACTAAGCTATGCCAGCAAACTGGAAAAGAAAACACTCTGATTGTGTTGACCATGTCAACTAGTGGAACATCCTTGAGAAAATTGGAATTTCAGAACTTTTCATTGTTCTTATGTGAAATCCATACACAGGACAAAAAGCCACATAACAGTCAGAACATGGCAAAATAGCATAGAATAGAATATAATTCTTTATTGGCCAAGTGTGATTGGACACACAAGGAATTTGTCTTTGGTGCATATGCTCTCAGTGTAAATAAAGAAAAATAAAATAGAATACATTCACAAGAATCATAAGATACAATACTGATAGTGCTAGTCATAGGTTACTAATAATCAATCAAATCATAGTAGGAAACAAATAAAACAATATAAATGTAAAGATACAAGCAACATGGTTATAGGCATAAGTGGGAAGAAATAGGTACTACGAAGGATGAGAAGAATAATAGTAATACAGTCTTAGTAAATCATTTGATAATGTTCTGGAAATTAGTTGTTTAGCAGAGTGATGCTGTCAGCCTCTGCTTTGCTGCTGCTTTGGCTGCCATGAAACAGGGAGGGAGGGCATGTTATTTGGGAGGGGTTACTTATTGTGCTGGAGGAAGATTCTGGAGTTCTGCTGCCTGTCGGACTACGCATGCGGAGGAGGTTCCCGCCAAGGCTAACAGCACTGACATTCCATCTTGGTGATGCCTTTCGAAGTTAACTCCCACCTGACACTTAGGAGAATTATGATTGGACTATAACTGGGATGCCAAGGGATGGAGAATGGGTTATTTTATATATCAAACGCTTTCGCGCCTAAATAATCAGTCTACGCTTTGCTACGCCTTTAATCATTTATAATTAGATTTCTACCTATGGAGTCTCGTGGTCTTCTTTCCTAATTACTCAATGAAGAGGTGCTGACACTTGGTCTGGAGGAACAGTACACAAGTGAAAAATTTCTAGAGGGGAAAAGGAGGGGGGGGGGGGGGATAATCTTTCCCGGGGAAGGAGGGTTTATTTGGAAAGGCAAAATGGCCCTGTACATTCTCCTAAAAAAAGAGTTAT